AGATTATCCTTGGTGAGCCTCATTTAATCAGGCAAGCTCTTAAAAAGGGGGAAGACTCCTTCCTGGTGAAAGGGATTCAAAATGCTGAGACCTCTACATGAGGGAAATTCTCCACTGCTGGCTTTGAAAATGGAGAGAGCCATATGGCAAGGAATGCAGTCAACTTCTAGGAGCTAAGAGTGGCCCCTGACACCCAGCTAGAAAATGGGGACCTCAGTCCTACACTACAAAGAACTCGATTCTGCCAATGACCTGAATCCTTGAAGTGGATCCTTGCCCAAAGCCTCCTGACAAGAATGCAGCCCAGCCAAAAGACGCCTTGAGAGTGAGGACTTCAGCAGAGAACACAAATGAGCTGCACCTAGACTGCCGACTGACAGAACTGTGAGACAACAAATGGATGTTATTTTAAACTACTGAGTTTGTGATAATTTGTTATGCAGCAATGAAAAACTAATGCACTGGGTATCTCAAAGGGTGAATCAAGACTGATTTTTAGAACTTTCTCAAAGTTTTGACCCAATAAATATTTCCAAACAATGAGTAATTTGTAAAGTTTGCAAAGTATTTTCTCATATATACTTTTATTTAATCATCCCACTAACTCAGTAAAAAGAACCTCCTTATTCTCCACTCTAAATGTCTTTTATTTTTTTAACAGAGTCTCATAGAGGGTAATTTTATTGCTCAAGATAGCAAAGGCAGACAGTGAAATGATGCCTAAAATTTAAAGCAAGGCAAGGTTTAATTAAGTAATGAGGCTCTTAAAAGTGTGAGGCCAGGAGCAGTATTAAACACTTAAGACTCACCAGGACTGGGCCTAGGGTGAGGCAAGTGAAGCATTCACCTTGAGCTCAAATTTTAAGGTAACGGGTAGACTGAAAAGTCTCAACAATCAGGGTAAATTATGTTTTCATTCAATCTTTTAAAAAAATAAAAATTAATACCAAAAATCTATGATAAGAAAATATCACTCTTTTAAATAAGGACACCATCCATGGGCTGAAAATAGGGTTGGACAAGTGAGGCACTCACTCTCAGGGTCATGCAAGTGCAAGGTCAAATCCTGTCTTGATTTAAAACTTTGATATTCTGTTCCTCACTCACCTCACCTTAGCCCTGGCCCTGACTCAGTTACATCTACCCTTTGACACTTCCTCATCTTCCATTTACTAGGAGGTATTAACATGTTCTCTTCTTTCTTAAATAAACTCCCTACTCGGTTATTTTGGTGGCCTGGCCAGTGGCAAAGTTATGCGTTCAAAGATATAGTTCTCTTGATCTGACAAACTGGCTCCTGGCTATGTTAGTTTGAGCATGGTGTCACAGGCATGGGGCTCACTGAAGATACTCCATCCATTCCTCTAAAATGGCCTTGTTCACTAATACGTCCTGTTTCTCCTTAATATCATTATCTTGGCTGGAGCTAATGTCTTAGAAAATGAGGCATGGGGATGAGGAAGCCTTCAGAACTTCAGTCCTTCATTGGTAGGGTGGCCATTGAAATGGTATTGGAAGCAGCAGGTTTAAGGGTGGACAATTTGTCCAAGTTGGACTGGAGCAGAAGGTAAAGGTAAACGGTGTCTTCTGCCACTGAAAGACTGAAGTTGTTGTCAGGGGCTAAATCATTCTAGATGACTTCTGCTTGAGAAGGTGTTATTATACCATTCAGGGAGGAGCAGGATAGGCAGAGGGACAGGAGAAGATAGTTCTAACAGCTGAATGGTGACAAACGGGGCTTTACAACCTAAGACTCGTTACCCATAATTTGAATGTCTTTGCTCTAGAACATTCTACATTTCCAGGCTTATTAACCTAGAAACATGTTCAAAAAGTTATCTACTCAAGAAGTAACTATTCACTCAAAAATCTAAATATTGAATTTACTAACAAGTGAAATGAGAAGTTGGAAATTTTATTTTAATGAATTGATGCAACGTATTGGCATATTTATTCACACAAATAAGATATTTTTGCATTGACCACATTAATGAATAGAGTCCTGATATAAAGTCTGTTAGGACAGCCCTATATTGAATAAATTTGTGAGCCCAGAGGAAAGAGTGGCACAATTTATTTTTTATGTCTATGTGCATAAAAGCTAAGATAGTAACATTCATACTATTTGCCATATCCACGTTAGAATTTATAAAGAAAAAATAAAACTCAGCTGGCATACTGACTGGTTAGCTTTACGGAAAGAGCATAAAAACTACATCCCTTCAAAGAAAGCTAGCTTTGAATAAATCATAGTAAAATTTTCTGTTTTCCAAAATTATAACTATCTGTAGGCATAAGTAATATGTCATGTGACAAAGACTAGGGCCTCAACATTGATTATTTTAATGCTGCTCATTACTAATCATTAATAACAGATGAATTATTCAAATAGTTATTAACTGATTTAGTTCTCCAGCAAGATTTTCTTTACTTAAAATTACAAAAAATATAATACAATTTTGGGCTAAAGAGTTTTCTGATACTGGTTAGACAAAGAGATTTAGCTTTCTTTATCTATATGTCTATCTCTCTAGGCAGTAAAATGGGGCTCACTTCAAGAAAACAAAATAGAGGATAATGAAAGTTCTATAGATATATTTCAGCTAATAATCTCAGAAGGAACGACAGAATTAGGGAATTACAATTCAGCGGCCCCTAATGGATTAATGGATGACAGTGACGATCTTCAATGACTGCCAATATTACTCTAAAGTAAACAACAGACCTTATGTGTCTACTAATGGAATTGCACAGTGTCACCTCTGGAGTGGTTCTGCCAACAAAGAGACAAATAAATAAACCTTAATCTGAACAAGCTTCGTACTATAACTATTGAAGATTATTGATGCTGAATGTCAGGTATATTGAGTTACTTTATTCTCTAAAGTTGTATATGATTGAGAATTTCTATAATAAAGTGATTTAATTATAAATATCATGTTGTTAAATTTGAAAACTCAAATAAAATGGAACAACTTTTAGCAAATGTAAATCACTAAATAGATCCTTAAAGAATATAAAACTTTCATTGAACAATACAAGCTGAAACTGTAGTCCTGTTTTGCCCTCAAACCAGCCAGGTTTAAAGGCCATTACACCAATAGTGAGGTAAACGCTAATCACCATATTAAGTAAACTCTTCCAAATCATACAAGAAGATGGGAAATTACTCAACCACTTTAACAGGCTAGCTCTCCTTGATACAAAGACCAGAAGCTTATGCCCCAAGAAAAGGACACTTGAGTCAAGCTCACTCATATAGAGACAAATATTCTAAATAAATTCATAGCATATCCAATACAGCAGTGTAAATGAAGAAATAGGCTGTGTCCAAGGAATGCAAAGATCATATCACCTTAGAAAAAACTATGAATTGGAATTCACCATGTTAACAGATAGAGAAGAGAAAGCGTTTGATCATGTGTGGGAGTGAAGAAAAAAATCTTTGATAAAAATTCAACACCAGTTCATGGTAATAACTTTTAGCAAACTTACATTAGAATGGGATTTTTATATTGTAAAATCAACAGCAGACGTATGTAAGTGTGAAATGTTAGGAAAATTCCCAATAAAGTCCAGAACAGGACATGCAGGTATGGTATCAATTCTACTGTTCAAACTTGGACTGGATTGCATAGCCAATATACAGCCATATACAGGAATACCTAAATAAAAGTTATGAATAATGAAAAGAAAGAGATAATATGATCCTCTAGCAAAAAACTCCAAATAAATTGGCTGCCAAATATTCAACTGCATAAGGAACTCCAGGAAGCTGGTGTAGAAGATCACTATAGCAAAATCAGGAGTCTAGCCACACGAAATAACTAATTAGAATATGGAATAGAAAATATACCATTCAAAGCAGCAGCAATATCCAAAACATACCTAAAAGAGAACAAATATGTACATGATCTTTATGGAAGCAAATATCAAAAAATTACTGATAGGTAAAAGAAGTTTCAAATAGAGCAATATACTGTTTATTCATGGTGAGCAGAATATTGTACAGATGTCAATTCTCCTTAAATTATTTACAGATTTATGCCTTACCTGATGGGTTTGGCCTGGAGTCAGCAGAGGCGACGTAGCTCAGAACCTACAAGGCGTCAACGTATGACACTGAATGAGGACTGAGAGGAAAACCCACCCCAAAAGAGGGGGCCACAAAGAGCCCCTCCCCCTACTGTCAGTCTTGGGAGGTCCCAGGCATGGCTGCTAGGCTCAGGTGCCCCCTTACTGCGGGTTCTGAGGGAAATGAGAGCCTTGGTCTGAGGCCAGCAGCCTCAGCTCAGCAGACAGGGAAGTCGCAGGCCCTGCCAGGAGTCAGAAAAGACACCTGTATGAGTTCCGAGCGATTCCTCCTCCTCCAAACCAGAGGAGGCGGGCTTAGAAACCTACCCCTGCAGTTATGCTGGGAAGCCCAACTGGGCGTGGCCGGAAGTGCTCCCTCTGACTTCCGCCAGGCCAACTGTTGTGGCTTTGGTCTGAGAGCTGTGGCCTCACGCCAGCACAGGGAGGAGTCCCAGGATTTGACAGAGGTCAAAGTGAGTAACCTTTGTTAGAACTGAGAGAACACACTTCTCTCAGAACTGAGGCAGCTGCAGCAGCCCCGCTCTACTCTGGCACGCCCCATCCCCCACTGTCAACTCCGAGTGGCTCAAGTATGGCTGTTAGGCTTAACGCCGCCTCACTTCCGCGTAGGGAATTTTGGGGTGGGGAGCCTTGATCTGAAGGGGCAGCCTCAAGTGAGCAGAGGGAGGAGTCAAAGGACCGGTAAGGAGTCAAATTTAGTATCCTGAGTTAGGACTGAGATGCCAAGCCCTGGCAGAAAAGAGGAGGTCCACAGAGTCCCGCCCGCCCCTGTCGTGAGGGTTCCTCAAACAGTACCCTTAAGGGAACCAGCAGAAATGGCTTTTCTTGTGAGCCAAGGTAGCATCTCCCTACTGAGACTGTGCACACCATCTCTTTCTCTGTCTTCTAGGGTGACCTCTTCATCAACCTAATTGCTTGAACTCCTGCCTATTATCCCTGACCACAGTCATGCCTCGAGGTCAGAAGAGCAAGCTCCGTGCCCGGGAGAAACGCCGCCAGGCCCGTGGTGAGACCCAGGGTCTGGAGGGTGCTCAGGCTACTGCGGCAGAAGGAGAGTCCCCCTCGTCTGCCTCTCCTCCCCTTGGGGGCGAGCCTCAGAATTTGCCTGCTGCTGAGACACCTAGCACTCCTGTGGCACCTCAGGGAACCCCATCTACCACCAACACTACTGCAGCTGTTTCATGCAGCGATTCAGATGAAGATACCGACAGCCAAGATGAGGAAAACCCCAGATCCTCCAAGGGCACTAAGGGTTCGCGCAGAGATCCTTTAAAGAAGAAGGTGGTTTCCATGGTGCAGTTCCTGCTGCAGAAGTATCAAAAGAAAGAGCCAATTACAAAGGCAGACTTGCTGAAGTTAATTACCAAAAAGTACAAGTCTCATTTCAATGAGATCCTCAGGAGAGCCTCTGAGCACATGGAGCTGGCCTTTGGTGTTGATTTGAAGGAAGTGGATCCCATCAGGCACTGCTATGCCCTTCTCAGCAAACTAGATCTCACCTCCGACGGAACGATGAGTGATGAAGAGAACATGCCCAAGACTGGCCTCCTGATGATTGTGCTGGGTGTGATCTTCATGAAAGCCAACTGTGCCCCCGAGGAGGAGGTCTGGAAAGTGCTGAATTTGATGGGTGTATATGCTGATAGGAAGCACTTCATCTATGGGGAGCCCAGGAAGATCATCACCGAAGATTTGGTGAGGCTGAAGTACCTGGAGTACCGGCAGGTGCCCAACAGTGATCCTCCACGCTATGAGTTCCTGTGGGGCCCAAGAGCCCATGCTGAAACCAGCAAGATGAAAGTCCTGGAGTTTTTAGCCAAGCTTCATGATACCGTCCCTAGTGCCTTCCCATCCTGGTATGCAGAGGCTTTGCGAGATGAGGAAGAGAGAGCCCGAGCCAGAGCTGCAGCCAGGGCTCGTACTGCTGCCATGGCCAGCGCACGTTCCCAGGCTACGGCCAGTGCACGTTCCAGGGCCACGGCCAGCAGCTCCTCCCACACTAAGTGAAGTCTGAGTCTGGTTTCTCACTTTTTGGTTGAAAAGGTATGTCAACTTGTAATAGTGGAGGTCCGGGGGCGGGGCTGAAGAAGTGTATATTATCTTTGTGTGCCTGTTCTGTATCGGTAACTTGGAATTTTACCTTTCTTTTTTTTTTATAGGTTATATTTCAAATGTTGAAGTCTGAGGCAGTTTGTTTTCTTTGTGGAAGAAAAGAGCAGTTGACATTCTAAGAAGTGGATGGCCTGGGTGGGTCTGGTGGGAACACAGTATATATCATCTTTGCATTCTTGTTCTATGTGGTAAACTTAGAGTTCTTTCTTTCTTTCCCTTTCTTTCTTCCTTCCTTCCTTCCTTCCTTCCTTTTCTTTCTTTCTCTTTCTTTCTCTTTCTTTCTTTCCTTTTGTTACATTTCAAATGTTTCTTTAATAACAGGTTTAAATAATTTCAGAATCTAAATTTATTAATGATTTTGGTTACATATTTATTGCTGTTTAATAGATTTAAGATTAGGAGTTTTAATATTTTGTAAAACAAATTGGGAAACTTTTCATATTTACTGAACCAGAACTATACAACATGGCATTGTAATACATTTCCTTGGAAATGTGAAAAAATGTAGCAGTAAAATTATTGAGATCAAAAAATAGAGGGGGAAAAAGTAAAAGATGTTCAGTTCTTGGTTTTCTTTATCCATTTTAGTCTGCTATTCTGCAAAAATAAAAGATACATACCTGGATTGCTTACTTATTAAAGAATGCAGGAGAAATAAAATGTTTATAAACTAGAATTCATGCTCACTGGCTCATTCATTCTCCAAATATTAATTGAACTTCTGCTCTTTGAAAGTCACCATGTGAGAAATGGGGAAACTAGGATACAAAACACCCAAGCCCTTAGAATTTTACAGTCAAGGAGCAGTAATCATGTAGGGAAGGTGGTGAAATACCCTCTAAGACCTAAAGGACGAGTAAGGAGTAAGGAGGTAAGGGGGACGGGGAGGGGTGTGTGTGTGGGGTGTCTGGCTGAAAACAATAAGGTACAAATGCCCTGAGGAAAGGCAGTTTGGGGTTTTGGGAAACTTAAAGTCCCACAGTGGGATATACTGTTAATTTCAGCTGGGTGGTAGGGTAGACGAGGCTGTGGGACTGGTGAGCAGAGGCCAGATATACAGATGGTGCTTCTCAACATTGAAGGACAAAACCCTGGAATGCAAACCTGCTCTTAAAGTTGCTTTAGTATTATCAATAAGCCGGAGGAAAACCTCCTCCTGGGGCAGAAATGGAAGGTGTCCTGTGCTCTTGTTCACGTGCAGTTGAACACAGAGCACCATCTAGTTGTTTTATGCACAGTGTCTTCAAGGAATGTCTGAGAAATAAGGGTGATACTCTCAGGGATGTGGAGAAGTTACTATGTTGGCTCTCTTTGCCCAACCGCGTGGGAGAACCAGATCTCAATGCATAAAAAGGCATTTTAATTAGATTATCTCGAGTATAATTTTAAAAAACTCTGAGGGCTCCATATTTAGTGGTGATTAAATGAATAAAAATAGGGGTGGTTTGGATGAAAAGGTACCTGGGAGAGAAGTTGTTGGTCTTTGACACAAATTCTAGGACCTCTGAGTTGCATCCAACTAGGGAAGACTCCCCCTACCCACATTAAATAACTTATCCTCAAATGGGGGAAAATTTATTTAGTTTTAGTTGCTAAGCAGCGTTTTGGGCTAATTTGGTATTATTTGTCCTAGAAAGCTCCATATTCTGTGATATCTCCTGAATTAATAAAAAGTAGATCTCCCCAGGTGCTGGCCCCATGGTGTAGTGGTTGAGTTCAGCGTGCTCCATTTTGACGGCCCAGGTTCACAGGTTCAGATCCCGGGTGTGGACCTACACCACTCATCAACCATGCTCTGGCAGTGACCCACATACAAAATAGAGGCAGATTGGCACAGATGTTAGTTCAGGGCAAATCTCCTCCCCCCCAAAAAGAAATCTCCCCAGAGGGGAAGGTGGTATCAACTGCAGTTAAAAAAAATATATAACTGCCATTCATTAAAGACCTAATATTTTCTAATTACTCTGCCAAGTGCTCCATATCCATTACAAATATTCTGACAGTCCTACAGGATAGGGCTTCTCAGACATACTTTGCAGATGAAGAACTTGTAATTTTCTCAAGTTCACATGGCTGATAAGTGAAAGAGCTGAGACTAGACCTCAGGTCCAAATTTTTCTAGAGCCCACACTTTTCCACTCCTCCAGCCTGAGGCAGACCTTCTGTCTCTTCATTTTCTATTCTCCTCACTACTCCAAGATGTATCACAGACAATTAAAAAACAGGACTCTCTAGCCGAAGTACTAAAAGTAGTCCTGATGAAGGAAGGTGAATATGAGAATAAAGCACAATTTAGGGCTTGTCTATGGGCTTCCTTTGCTGAGGATCCTCCTGTCCCTAGCCCAAGGCTTCCTGGACAGCTAACTCTGCCCAGGCGCTGGCCCAAGGCCTGTACTAGCACTTTCCTGCATTACAGCACTTGCCCCTGGGTCCTCCCGCGTGTGCCCTCCTGTCCAAATTGGAACCCTCATATTCTGGCCAGCTCTTCACTGTGTCCTCTGGAGGCTGCACCCTGCTTCCTGTCATAAAGGCAGTCCAGAATCACTTGCCCTCCCCTTGATTAAAGCATTCCAACTCTCTGCAGGTGTACCTTGGAGATTCCATCCCTCTTGGTGGAATCATCGACAGTGAAGTTTAGATACCTGATTGTCACAGTCCCACCTCCCCACCTCACATCTCTACAACAGTCTCAAAGTATATTCCAAATGAGCTGGTGATTAGAGTCTTATTTTTTACAGAATATACTGGTTCTTGGGATGTAATTGAAGTTAGGTAGGGGGTTTTGTAAACAACCCAGATATTATCAGTAGGATTTTAAAGGAGTGTGTTATTTGAGACTGAACACACACACCAATAAGTGAGCTTACCTCGATGGTCAATAACCAAAGCCTCCCTCATAAGTCGGAAATGAGGAAAGACCATGGAAATCACAGTGTAGCAAACATCTACTGATGCTGAATTCCTCAGAACCCCAGAGTTGTTTTAAGAGGGAAAAAAATGGTTTCTTGGCAGACATACTCTCTTTAAAAGCAAAGATTAAAATAATTCACCATACTTCTGCTGTCTCTTATCTCAGTATTTGACCAGAGAAGAATCCCAGTTTTTCCTTGTGCCTAATGACACCTATAAAAGTGTCCTGTATGTTCAGTTGTGCTGAGGGTTGCTGGGACTCACAAGTTAAGGTTTTGACCATGCATCAATAGAAGGAGAACATTCTCATCCTATTGAGACTCTAGAATTTATTTCAAAGGTGAGTCAGAAAAGTGCTATTGAGTGAAAAAGGTGAGCCCTCCCTACAGAAATTTTACAGGATCCTTTTGAAAACTAAATGTGATCCAGTATTTGAAAGTACCTCCCATGTAGCAGGCTTGGAAAAAAGTTGGAGAATTGCAAGACAAATTGACCTCCTTAGAAACTCCACCAAGAAATGGAGAGAGTTGTTTTCATAACAAATTCTAATAGTTGCTCTTTTATTGAGCACCTACTATATAACAGTTTTGGGGAAATACTGGAAGTGTTCACCCACATGGTGTCTTGCTCTCCTTCCTGGGCTCATGGGGAGACTACATTCCCAGTCCACTCGTACTTAGGAAGGGTCTTGTGACTACATTGACACTGAAATATGAACAGAAATGATATTTGTACCTCCAGGCCAAGGTATTTGAGAGCAAGTATGCCACCTCCATGCTCTGTGTTTCATTCAGCAGCAAACACAAAGATCCCTTGTTGAGAAGTGCAACCACTTGATGGGAGCAGCCTGGATACCTGGGCCATCTGACAGTGAATGCCCGTGCCTACCCACATCAGATTTCATGTGCATGAGAAATAAACTTTTGTTGTTTTAAGCCATTGCAGGTTTGCAGGTTTTGTCTGTTGCATCAGCTAGCAGTTACTTTATCTGATTAACGCACACCTACCATTTTTGTGGCTAGATGTATTTAAATATTTTAATTACAAATGCCATAGAACATATATTCTTGCTGCAAAAAAATTCTAACAATACAGATAAATTACAATCTCCCCTTTTCCTCAAAGTTCAGCCCCCTCCTCATAGGTAACCATAATTAATAATGTGGTGTGTGTCATTTTAAAGCTAATCTGAGGCTTTTTCATAAACAGGTGTGTTATAAAAATATATTAATTTTTATCACACATGATTAACAATGTACATATTGTTCTGCCTCTTGAACTTGTCACTTAATAAAATGAATGCAGGATATTTCCACGAGAGAACATATAGATCCATCACACTCTGAACTACTCTCTAGAATTCTTTTTCTTTTAAGCAGATTTATTGAGATATAATTGATATACAAAAAACTATACAGATGTAGTATATACAATTTGATGAGTTTGGACATATGTATACACCTGTGAAATCATCACCATGATCAAGGTAACAGACATATCCATCACCTCCAAAAGTTTCCTTGTATCTCTTTGGTTTTTTTCTTTCGTGGTAAAAACACTTAACATGAGATCTACTCTCTTAAAAAACCATAAGTGTATAATAAAGTGTTGTTAACTATAGGCGCTATGCTGTACAGCAGATCTCTAGAACTAATTCATCTTGCATATCTGAAACTTTATACCAATTGAACAACTCCCCATCTCCCCCTCCCCCCAGGCCCTGGTAACCACAGTTCTAGTCTCTGCTTTTATGAGTTTGACAATTTTAGGTACCTGATATAAATGGAACCATGCAGTATTTGTCCTTCTGTGACTGGCTTTTTTCACTTAGTGTAATGTCCTTCAAGTTATCTGTGTTGTTGCAAGTGGCAGGATTTCCTCTTTTAAGGCTGAATAATATTCTACTGTGCATGCATGTGTATATATACATGTACATATATTGCAAAATTTTCTTTCTTTATTTATCTTCAATGGACATTTGGGTT